AATTTCCATTTGTTAGATTGTTCTCACGTGCTTAACCAACAAGCTTTCTAGTGGGGTTCTTGACCGCCCTAAATGTTCACAAACCTGTTGTAAAGCATCCACTGAAGGACCCCTGATTGATACCAACGATATATGTAAGCTTGATGCTTCTATCTTATATTTTAAGTAAATCTGACAACTGCTTTTGCGATAAACTTTACTGACTGGTTCCATTTTCTGGACAATCAGTGGATAAAGGTGTGGCAGCTATTAAACTTGGATGGAAGGAATACTTGCAGCAACCAGTTCTTCCTGCAAGCCTAGCCTATGTGTTGCTTTATTTTAATGTTGTACTCACTCCAGGCAGTTTGATGACAGCATATCTAACACAAAGTGGTATTTTCATACTTTTTCGCCTTTTATATGCATATTTCAGGAAAGACCTTCATTTTCAATAAATTCAAGCCCCAGGTTCTGAGGGCATGCTATAGCTCGGCCAAAAAGTATCTCATCAACATGCATTTAATAGTAAACATTATGCACATTAGAGGGCTTTCTAGCAGTTAGTAGTCAGTGACCCTACTGATTCACGCATATAGGTTGTTACATCCATGGTGTTGGGTACACTTGTTTCTTTTGGCTTATCAAGAGATAAAGTGTTGTCTTTAACCTATAGGAAAAACAAGGGGATTCAGTGATCATACTTTGGCATGATTCGTGAAACCCAATTCTAACTCCAAGATATCATGGCATTGTTTAACAGGTTTAAATCCATCTATCATTGGGGGTTTTAGTGGACTATGTGCTTTTATGGGTGTTGCAGCAACATTTGTGTCTTCATGCCTGGTCAGGCGGCTTGGCATTTTGAAGGTTGCCTAATCTGCTTCATTATTGTGTTACCGTCCATTTTCAATTTGTATTCTGTGTCTACATCTCATGGAATTTCTTTACCAGGCAGGAGCAGCTGGGTTAATATTTCAGGCTTCACTGCTCACCGCAGCTGTTGCTGTTTATTGTAGTAGATCTTCCTCTCAGCAGAGCCCCCTTCTTTTCTTCCTGTGTTTGATTGTAAGAATCATTTATCTATTTCTTATTTTCCTATATGAGATAATAGATTAAACTTGAACTGTAATACTAAAGCTTACAAAGAAAGGACTCAATAGTTCAGAAACAAGATGTGGGGTTGGAAGATTGGCTTCAGCTGTGGTTGTGGTCGGGATGACAGTTGGATGTGAGCAGCTCAAAAAATCATATTAGTGATTTGATTGGACAATGGGACTTATAACATTATGTTGGATTCAAAAGATCATCCACATTATACCAAACATAAAACACAGTTGATGGGCTTTTGTCCATGCTTTTCTTACATTTAATTGTATCCTTTATTTTCATCGAGCTCTGATGAACGGCTACCTTTTGCACGCAGGTATTATCAAGGCTGGGACACATGTCCTACGATGTTGTGGCGGTACAGATTCTTCAAACTGGGATACCATCATCCAAAGCAAATATTATTGGGACAACAGAAGTTGCTGTTGCTAGCCTGGCAGAGTTTACAATGTTGGGAGTTGCAATAGTTGTCAATGATGTTTCACATTTCGGCTCTCTAGCCGTGCTGTCACTCCTATCAGTAGTTGGGGCGGCGTGGATGTTCTGTCGTTGGTTGTTGAATCCAACAGATGAACAAAGAACTCTTTTCTCTTTCGATGCTCAGTGTCAATAAGCGAAGTAAGTTTTGTCTTTTTATCAATCGATTTGATTAATCTTCAAATGTTTTTACATGTCTGTCAAGTCTGAATGAACGATTTTAACATTGCTACTAATCATCTGCAGTTATACTTTCTGAGGCCCTGGTACAAAGGCTGTTTGACGAAAATCGGAACCAAACCTTTTAGGGCGCCCACATTTTTCTATTGATAGAGGCATATGTTGGCTGTAGTGTAGGATCCGTGACACGCCTTTGTATCATATAATATATATAATATATATGGACTTCAACGAGCTCAACTTTGTACATACATTTTGAAACATTTGTAAATCATTGATTCATTCAAAATCTTTTTCCTGGAGATCATGCTCCAATTCTTTCTGAAGCTCGGTCATTTGTGAAACAATGGAAGTAGAATGAAGGTAGCTTCTTTTGAAGCCATGAAAGCAGAAACAAGGTGAAAAGTTACAGGCAGGCCTTTTCTTTTGGGGTCAACACAGGCAGGCCATTAAAGCAGCAAAAGTTACACAATCTTATGGTGTTGGTTGCGTGATCAGAGAATTGGAACTTATTCCAGGTTGACTATAACAAAGACGAGAAAAAGCTGTGGTATTTATTTTTCATCTGCAATAACAAATAACAATATCATTGGGTAAAGCTGCAATGGGGTTGGGCTCTGCATAAAGCTTGTAAATTCTCTCCCTCCAAAAACAACTTTGTTGGACAACAATGATTTTGATCATTAACCAATAGAAAAGTGCCAAATGGCACTATGGCATCTCTCCTCCTCTTCCTCGTATGGCTAACATAAACTTGATTAACTTATAACTTGTAACATTAAAGCTTAACATCTGCTCTGCTGCGGCGGGCATTGGGTTTTGCATATGAACAGCACGTACCCGTCACGCTTCACCCCTTCTCCCAAGAACCTTTTACTATATACCTCACCTCATTAAACTCCCTATATAATTTAAGGTTCAATGTTCAAACTCTTATGTAACTTTGTGTCACGCCACTTCAATGATTCAGAATGTGAAAAATATTTTCCGTTTCTATTATATTTCCCGTTTAATCATTTGAAATGCAAATTTCTTATGAAGATTCTCCACTAAGTTATATTCTTTCAACTCTTCATCTTCTTTAATAAGTAACATGATGTGAGAAATAGAAAAAATGATAAACGGAGTACCAAATTTAATAAATCAGCTTCATACCATGAAAGTGAAAGAGTTTGACTAGTTAATTATTGGTGCTGCAAAACAGTTTTTTGAATGCATTAGCACCAACAAAGTAAATGCGTATTTACTTTGAAAAGATAGATGTCATTCACAATTTCATTTCAATTTCACTTCTCTTAAATAATTGACTTCACCAAACAATTCATTTATTTTATTTAAAAATATATATAATTAAGAATCAAAAAAGAATATAAAAAATAGAAGTTCAAGTTACAAAGCAATGAGAGTGAGTCACGTGAATCAAGGCAAGGCAAGGCAGAGAGTGAGGCAGTGGCTACCGCCATCTCCTAAATATCACGTCCCCGTGTTTGTCGCGTGTATTCTACGTTTCTCTTTCTCCTCTCCTTCTCCTCCTTCTCTTCCTCCTCCGGCTGCTGTCAACATTACGTTGGTAAGAGCTCCCTTCTCTTTTCTCTCTCGCGATTTATCATCTCATCTCATCTCATCTCATCTCATGCTATCAAATTACAGAAAATAATAATATTTATTCATTGTTACTATATTATTATCTCTTTTGTCCACTGTCATTGTTACTTTTCTGAACAGTTGTGAATCCTAGTTTTTGCAGAGACCAAAAACAGCTTAAAGAGTTGCAGGTGAACTTTTTAGGCGTAAACCAAGTATGGAATTATCGATAGTTATCAATGTTTTATCAATAATGAAATTTATCAACATGTTATCGATACATTTTTAATAATGTTACTGTTATATCGATGTACACTCGTGTCATACAAAGACGATATCAATATTATTATCGTAGGTAGCAGCTACAGTAATCTCATTATTTAAAAAAACAGGTAGACTTTAATATTGTAAATCATGAGACTTTAATTTAAGATATTTGCAAGAAAGGAACCTCATTTCAAGGTAGAAGAAGAAAAATATAATGCTTACATAAAGGACAAGAAGCCTTTAAGAAAGTTAGGATTTTTGCAAGTTACATGTATTGTAACACTTGAAATATGAGTTTACTGTTTGTCTCAAAATCACTCCTTTACTATTAAATTGACTAGACAAGAGATTACAACAGTGAATTTCAAGAATCGATTTTCTTTTTATTTGTTGAGAAAAAGTCAAAAGTTTGGCTCAAGTCACGATAGATTGGTAGTAGTAGGCAGGCAGCTACTAATACTATGCAGCTCAAAGCAAAGTTATATACATATCTATCTGAAATTGGGGAGAAATTCAATTCAAACTGATGTATATAGACATCAATTTTCAAGAAAACACCCAAACCTTTTTGAGGTAAACCAACAGCATCCCATTTCCCAAAACCAAAAAAGAATTTCCATAAACACAAAGACCCACACTTGCCCCAAAGACCCTTGAGATGAGACATTTCTAGATGGACACCTTGAAAATTGTATAATTTATGTTCCCAAAACCAAAAAAGAATTTCCATAAACACAAAGACCCACACTTGCCCCAAAGACCCTTGAGATGAGACATTTCTAGATGGACACCTTGAAAATTGTATAATTTATGCGTGAGGAGAGAGAGAGAGAGAGAGAGAGAGAGAGAGAGAGATCCCCTCCCATCAATCCCAATATCATATCATATCACACTTGGGGGGGAAAAAAAAGTAAAAAAAGACCATGTGAGTGTTAAAAACAGAAACCAAAGCTCCTCCCTTCTCTTCTCCATAACCTATGCTCTCCAGATTACCTCAATAACCCAAACACCTTCACCATCATTTCCCATAACCCCCTGCCCCCACACTCCATCATTTTCAGCTGGACAAAGTGTGAAAAGTGGATGAGACTTGTGGATAAAACAATTACTGAATGGCAAAAAATAAAAGTAACAGTCACATTTCCATGATTTTACATCACTTGTTGGAATTCCTCAAACCCTTATCCTCCAGCCATTAGTATTTCTTTTTGTTGCTTCAACTAATATCAAAAAAGATTAGAAGAACTAATTAGAGTGTGCAGCAGGGAAAAAAGAAGTGTTCTTTTTTCACCACAAGCTTCTGTTGTTGTTTGTTGCCACAGTGTTCTGGACTTGAAAGCGCCCATCTTTTCATGTCTATTGACACTGATAGTTGATACATCACTTGCCTTGTTCGTGTCCTCCTCTTTTTGACCCTTTTATTATTTCTCTCTCCCCCTCTCTATTTTTACATCCTTTTCAGACACTGTGTTCAAGTAATACATACTCTCAAGTCTAGAGAGAGAGAGAGAGAGAGCGAGAGGGTGATAGAGAGATAATGGGGTCTTTGCCAGGTGAAACTGCAAGGAAGAAGGCAATGTGGCTCTATCCAAAGGTTACGGGATTAAATCCTTCTGAGAGATGGGGGCACTCTGCTTGCTATGCTCGTGGGGTTTTGTATGTTTTTGGGGTATGTTCTAATTTTCTTCCATGAAAATCAAATTTTGTTCATCTTTTCCTTCTTTTTGATAATTTTGAACTGTTTGTCTGTGTTTATATTATGAATTAATTTTACAAATTTGCCATTCTGATTATAATGCAGAAATGGTTTGCTCTGAGCAGTTGTTCTGCTCTTAATTTTTCTTTTTTGTGTTGATTTTGTTGATGCATGTTGTATGGCTACCTTACTTCGTTCTTTGGTCAAAAGGAAAGTACTGTTTTTATTTCTTGTTACTGCAATTGGCTGATGACAAACTTGCTTTTTTTTACTGCCTGTTGGTGTTTCCTTATTTCTCCTCTTTTAATCCTTTTGAGAATGCTTTTCCCTGTTTCCTGTGTTTCTCATATTAGTAGGGCAGGACAGTCATGTGGTAGGTGATAGTTGCCTTCTTGCTTTTCTTGATGTAGTAATTTCCATATTTCTCTTTTCTTTTTTCTTTTAGGTTTTCCTTGTCATAATTAACTTGAAAATTATCCATGTTCTTTAACTATTTTCTTAGTTGTGGGAGTAAAATTTGTGTTTTCCTGTATTAAATTTTCATTTTATTGGGTGAGCAAATTAAAGCAATAAAGTTGGAGCTCATGCATCAACTGTTTCAAAATCTGAATTCTTTGAGGCATACTTCTTGGATCTTCTACATAATCGACCAAAATCGGTGTCATTAGATTACCATAACTAGTTTGTCCTGTTGAATCTTTGTGTTGTGTAACAAAGATGGCAAAACTTCCTTGAACTTGTACTCAGATTTCTGTTTATGGTTTTCATTTCTGTATAGTACAAGGGAAAGCTACAAAATGTACTTTTTCGGTAATGTGATGCTATGCTACATCGTGATCTCATCCTTTTGTTTTTCCAATTTAGGGATGTTGTGGAGGTATGCATTTCAGTGATGTTCTTATGCTTAATCTTGAAACAATGGTCTGGAACACTCTTGCATCAACTGGTCAAGGGCCTGGTCCTAGAGACAGCCATAGTGCCGTTGTTCTAGGGCACAGGATGATAGTTTTTGGAGGTACAAATGGCTCTAAGAAGGTAAATGATCTTCATATATTGAATCTTGTGACCAAAGAATGGACACGACCAGAATGTACGGGGACTCCACCTTCACCCCGTGAAAGCCACACTGCCACGCTTGTTGGTGACGAAAAATTAGTGGTATTTGGGGGTAGTGGAGAAGGTAAAGGAAATTACTTGAACGATCTTCATGTTCTAGACCTTAATACCATGAGATGGACTTCCCCTGAGGTGAAGAGTGATATTCCTGTTCCTAGAGATAGTCATAGTTCTCTAGCAATAGGAAAGAAGCTTCTTGTGTATGGTGGAGACCGTGGTGATAGGTATTATGGCGGCATTGATGTGTTTGACATGGACACACTGACTTGGTCAAGGGTATGGTTTTCCTCTTATTATGTCAGAATTTCAATGTTAAATGATATATGAAATGTTCATACTTCTTACTGATTTTTGTACAAATTAAGTGAAATGGAGGTTCTGTGATTGTTTTGCAACAGTTGGCTGTTCAAGGATCTTCACCTGGTGCCAGGGCTGGCCATGCAGCTGTGAGTGTCGGGACAAAGGCAAGTAATTTTACCAATATGTACAAAATTAGAAAGGCATAGAACATATGGGCACTGCATGAAAATTGAACAATTCCATCTTGTTATATTAAAATGCAGGTCTATGTCATTGGAGGGGTTGGAGACAAACATTACTACAATGATGTTTGGGTCCTAGATGTGAGTACTTGTTCATGGACCCAACTTGATATATGCGGCCAACAGCCACAAGGGCGATTCTCTCACACTGCTGTTGTTACAGATTCTGACATTGCTGTCTATGGAGGGTAATTTAGCCATCAAAATTTATGGCTTACTTTGTATAGGTCCCTGTTCATATAGTTTGGTTCCATCATAGTTTTCTGACTTGAAATTGTAGGTGCGGGGAGGACGAGCGCCCTCTGAATGAGTTGCTGGTGTTGCAGCTTGGAGCAGAACATCCCAATGGTCGTTACAATATTTCCATGTGCAAAATTTTCGGAAGCCATTGGAACCAAGAGAGGAGAAGGCTCTCTAAAGGAGCAGATTTTAACACGGTACAAAAGTTACTGTAACAATGCAGTACTTTAGTGCATCCTTTATGTTTCTATAATGAAGAGGAGTGTTTTTGTAAATGCTTGAAGCAGAAAACTATGCTGATGGGGAACCATGTAGTAGTAAGAGAAACAGCTGAACCAGAATCAGAAGCGAAACGATCTCTCCAAAACAAATCAGGTCAGCATATAGTATAACGATTTGTGTTTGTACCTTTTGGTATACATGAATTCATTGTTAATGATTATACATCCTTAAACATAAATGTAGATAGTACTTTACATCCAAAAAGGAGAAGAACCACCGGTACAAAAGCATGGGACGTCGAGTCAGAACAAGAGGAGCATTCTCTATCACTCTCCCAGCATTCATCACCATCACACTCTGACCAAGAACAGACACCAAATCCTAGAATTGTTGATTCAGCCCCAGGTTCTCAAGGTTTTAATTTGTTTAAGAAAAAAATTCAGAGTCCGAGAAATAGCCAATCTCCCAATGCTTTAAGTAACTGTAAAGATCTTAGAAATTCTGTTCAAAAATCTCCAAACCTTAACTTGTTAGGAGATCATCAAACCGAACTAAAACGAGAACAGCATCCTCATGTCAGCACTGGCAGACCAATTATGCAATATCCAGCTGTAGAGCAGAAAACTTATGAGGCAGTGCCTGTTCAGAACCTGGTATGCATTTCTTTAACTTCACCTTCTTTTGTTTGGTGGCAATTTGACATAATTGCTACTCTTCTGTTTGTTATGATTCAGCTTTTTATTGGTTCTCTTTCTCCTTAGATTGGCGCCGAGGTTCAAGGCAAAGTTGATGGAGCATTTGACTCAGGTTTCTTAATGACAGCAACTGTTAATGGAAGGCTATATAGAGGGGTCTTGTTTGCACCAGTAAGCTCTCAAAATTTTACTGCACATAATACATAATGTTTGAAATTTTGCAAAGCATGTCTAAAAACTTATTTGTGCAACTTAATGTGTTAACCAGGGAGCTGGGATCATCTCAAGAGTGCCAACTGTTGCACAAAGCACTTCATCTTCAACAAGCCAAATCCCCATTGCCATTGCCCAACCATTCCCAAACCCGAACCGCACAGAGCCACCCTTGAAGCTATCCGAGCAGCCAATGAAGAATTCCATGCCAGGGTCAGGTTTAGGCCTCAGGCAACCTCAGGTGGCTCGACCATTTTCGGTCATTCGAGCCACTTCATCCTTAGCCAAAGAAAACAACCTTACAAGTGATCTTCCTGGTGTGTTTTTGTCACTTGGAGGACCAGGAAGTGGTTCTGGTGGATCTTAGAAGCTCCTATATTGGATGATAACTTATTCCTTGCTCCTTTTTAGAAATTTTGTAATTTTACACAGCTAGGTTATCTTTGTTAAGTTCTATGTCATCAGTTGATTCTTTGAATCAAATGATGATCGAGTGGTAACTTGGTAGGTATTCTGATTAATTAATTAATTAATTACCCAAAATTACTATATTCTTCAAATCTTTATTTGCAATAATTTTCTTATGGAAACGAATGGTATGCCACAATTTTTTTTTAAATTATTATTATTATTATTATTATTATGGGCTCTGAAATAATTTAAAATGAAAAAGGAAACAAGCAAAAGTTAAAGGGAGTTTCACTAAAACACCCAAAATGGGGGTTGAAATTATAAAAAAATCCAAGCACTATTTAAACATATAAACACACCCAAATTAAAAAAAAAAAAAAAAAAAAAAACAAAGAACAAAGAAAAAGCAAAAAAAAAAAACTTTAAAAATAATAAAAGAGAAAGTTGATTTGATAACGTGGGGTGCACAAAAAGAGCACCCGCGCATCGCGCGCTACTGTCGTGTATGTGATATCTGAAGGAAAGAGGGCCACAGGGTCGCTGTCAACCGTCGGATCTGTCTACCACGTCGCCCCACCATGGCTCCTTTACGATTGACTGATTGATTGTTGTTATATGTAGTCAGAAGGGTCACTCTAACGTCCCCATCTTGTCACGCATCTATCTGTCACTGGCGGTGGTTACGTCATCCACGTACTACACTTCGCTCTCTGACCTGTCGGTCATCGGATGCCCTATCATCCTCATTTCATTTCTACTCTCACTCACACGCTCACACTCCTTGGGTGGGTCCCACGTCACCACAAACGTGGGACCATACTCTTTAACCGTACGTGTCAACCAGAGTCTGGTCTGTGATTACTAACTTGGATTAATGTTTCATTTATTTAAGAAGATTTATATCCGTTTTAACCTTAAAATTTCTAAGGATAAAACATATGAATTATGCTAAGTTCACGCCTTTTGTGGAAAATGTCTTTCTATGAAATAGGGATATCACTATTTTGCTATCCTCGCCAATAACACTATGATACATGTGATAGTATTTCCACGTGTCATATCATTATTGGTCGTAATAGCAAAAGAATGTTATTAATGTTGAAACTAAGTTTTTCTCTATTTTGTGGCACTCACGTGCATTAATGGAGTATTTAAATGCATGGGTAGCTTACAATTCTACAATAGTTCACAATTGATCTTGAGTAGGGTCGAAACTAAGTGTAGACTTGAGGTTGTCATGTGCCCCATCCTTTATATATATTTGAAAAAAATTATGCTAATTGGCCCCTCATATGTACCAGTTTAGCTCCACTCTAACCTAAAAAAGCGGTAAAATCTAACAAAAAGTGTACTGGCCTACGAAAAAAACCTCACTATGCATTTGAATCAATGTGATATTCATAGCATGATTTTGCAAGCAATCTCTGTCAGTTTCTGTCTCACAAAGTTTTGGAAACAGGTTTGGTTCTTGTCTTCTTTCATTGTCCCTAACCATGTGGAGATGGTTGTGAGCAAATAATGCTCTTTCCAATCACCAGATAGGTCTTGTAGCTTTCAAGTTATCCTACAGTATTTGCCTTTTTCTTTTTATTTTCTGTGTGAAAGTGAATTCCATCATTGTTCATTTTGACTCTAAACTAAGCTGGAAAAAGAGAAGGATGAATAAATAAAAATTATTTAAAAATAGTTATTTTACTCGTGAAAAATAGCAAGGAAAAAAGAAAGATTATAAGAGAGAAGAGAAAGAAAACCTTAAACGGAATGCGGACTAACATACACCAGGGGTGCATTATTGACTAACCTACGCACTCCCTGACCCAAGACCCGCCCAGACCCAACGGTCCCGAACCCAACCAAAAGTTGACAGAGAGAGAGAGTGTAAGCTTCACAACAAGAACAGGATAATGGACAAGGCGGTAATAACCCAACAAAAACCCAGCACTAATCAATTTACAACAATGGTGAAAACTTTGGTTCCCTGCGAAGCAAACCCTAATTTTAACTCAGTTCTCCTCTCCACATCTGGTGCTCCAATCACCTTGCACCACCTATTCAAGAAAACCCAATTCGAATTCTTTAAGTCTGACCTGATCAGGGTCATCTTGTCGGTGATAATCTAAGGGTTCTCTGAGGATTTTCGTTGCCTAGCTTACCCATAAAGGTAAAATCTTTCAATTTGGTATTTTCGTTGAGTTTTTGCAGGTTTGATTTGATTTTCTCGTGTGGGTATTTCGATTCTGACTCAATTATTGTGTGATGTTGTGTGGTTTTGCCCCAATTATCAGGTTTTTGTTTGTGAATTTCTATTAATCGTAATTTCGTAAGATAAAAAAACGAACGTTTTCCGGTGGTGTATGTAAAGTTCGGATTTTTTGGTTGGTTTGTTTGTAAGGGTCTAGTGCATGGTATTTCTTAGATTGGTTGTTGTAATCGTGGTTTATGTCCGGGTTTGTTCTGAATGTTAATGGGGAATTCAATAAACTTTCAATTTACTTCTCTTTTGAGAGCTCTGGAAGATTGATTTCTGTTGTTTAGTTTGATTTAAATTCTAGTCTCTTGAGCCAGGTTTCGATAATCTACCTTGATTTTTGCATTTTTATGGTTGTATTTCCAGTGGAAGCATTATTATTTTTTTGGCGCCAATATGCTTTCTGATGGTACTTATATAATGCTCTATTACAAATTTCATTTTTTGTTACAATATGTGCATGTATTGGTTTCCAAGATTAATGGTGTTAATTGAATATTTCCGTAGTATCCATTGCTTTGAACATATTGTGTATGACATTTACACTGACTGCTAATTTGTTGCTCGTGACTTTCTCAGCTCTCTTTGTGGGCAAATATAGGCAGCGCTAGGATTGTTTTTAGCCGTGATTACGATGGAGGGTTTTGGAGGCTTGGGATTCAATGATGTAACCAATGCTGTGAGGAAGAAAAGGAGTAACACATCTCGTCGTCCTCGGAATGAGTCACCGCTGCCTTTCGATAATCGAGATACCATGTCATCAACGCCTCCTTCAGAAGATGTAAGCAAATTGTCAAGTGATGATAATAACGATTATGGTTCAATTACTCAAAAGAGGGATATCAATCTGAACCTATGCAGTGCAAGGGCTTCATTTAGTAACATTATTGAAGCTGAATCTGCCCAGAATATGAATAAAAGTGAAGGAGGAGGATCCGGAGAATCTGATGAAGCTTCCAATGATGGTTCTTTTCGAGGCAGTAACGACCATAGGCATAGGGAGATTGATTCACAAAGGTCCAGCAAGGGTGCACTTGCACCTGCTAATTGGAAAGGTACAAACAAGGTTGGTCCTTTTGGAGTTGTTTCAGATTGCTCAGAGAATGAGAATAAAGTGAAAATGGTTAAGCTTAAAGTTGGTAATGTTACACGCACAATTCAGGCCAAGCCTACATCTGATGGTGCATCTGCTGTTGGGTCGTCTTCTATAAAATCTTCTCATATTTCAGATGCCCCTCGACCACGTCAGAAGTTGATTCTTCAGGTTCAGTCTGCATTGACATATTGTTCCAGATTTTCTAAATTTGATTGTGTGTAACAAATCTTAAAAGTGACAGTAGCGTATAGTATAGACAGCATTTACAGCTTCTGGAAATCAGACAAGATGGATAGATTCATAACTTAAATAGATTCTCATTTTATCTTCTATTTTCTTGGAAATCCTTTGGTTTTTAGTTAACTTCTTTTTCGCTCATCTGATCACATTCCTTGAGGTTTTGGTTTCCTAGTTTATCTTCCCTTCTTTTACACAAAAGGGTTTAGTTGTTTAGCTATTAAGTTCATATATATTAAGGATTATGAAGACTACATCTAACTATGTCTATGGTGCAGGAGAACTCAGATGACAATCGTTCCTTTAGTTCAGATAAAGGAAGTGGGTTACGAGGAGTCCCATGGAAGGATTTATCTAAAAGCGTCACTGATGTTGGGAAGGCTGATTCTTCAAGGGGTGGGATGCCTGAAGAACCTGTTCGCAAGAGCAAACGGGTCCCTAAGAGACGCTTGTTGGATGCAGTTGATGATGGAGATGATGATGACGTGGAAGTTCGATACCTTGAAAAACTCAAAACATCTAAGATTACTTCAGATCACAGTGTGGAATACAATGAAGATGAGGAAAGAAAAAGCAGAAAAGAAAGGAAGATTTCAACGGTGATGAAGGGGAGTGGTGTTGGCCAGTTCAGTGTAGATTTGGGAGGTTATGGCATCTCAAAATCAGGCAAGGAGAGTAGGAAGTCTAGAGGAGGAAGAATATCTGATGATACTGATTATGAAGAAGAGGAAGAACCTGCCTCTGATGGCGAGCCCAGTACTAAGAGGAAAAAATTGAGAAAGGAGTTTGTTGAATCATCCTCATATAATAAGGAGATGACAGTCACTACTCGTCAAAGGGCTCTTAAAACTGGAAATAATGTCGCTTCCAGCTTAGGTGCAAGTCCAATTGAGTTCCCCAACGGGTTGCCCCCTGCTCCACCAAGAAGTGAGTGATAATTGCCTTTATATCATAAGTAACTTCTGTTGAATACATTACGACATCTCTCATGACAGTATTTATGTGTTTACTGATAGAGCAAAAAGAGAAACTCTGTGCACTGGAGCAGCAAATCAAGAAAGCAGAGGCTGCTGAGAGACGTAGGATGCAAGTAGAGAAGGCAGCTAGAGAATCTGAGGTTTGACTTGTCTTTTTGTTAGTTTCCTTTTGTCTTCCCTGTGATATGCATATGTGTTAGAAGGAACTTATATATCATTTTCTTTCAAATTTGGCTGCGTCTTAGGCTGAGGCAATCAGAAAGATTTTGGGCCAAGATTCAAGTAGGAAGAAACGAGAAGACAAGATAAAGAAACGGCAAGAAGATCTGGCACAGGTAAGAGATGGTGCATAATAGAACCCTTTCTCTGTATATCAAGCAATAGATTCTTGAATAATGGTACATTCATTTCTTTTGCAGGAAAGGGCTGCAAATGCTTTCATACTTCCATCAGATTCTGTTCGATGGGTGATGGGTCCATCAGGATCGATCGTCACTTTCCCTGATGAAATGGGCTTGCCAGCTATATTCGACTCCAAGCCTTGCAGGTATAGTTGCATTTGAAACTCTAGGTACTTAAGTTTAAATGATAGAGTAACTTTTATCCCAAATCTATACAAACCTTCTATAGCTTCATTAAGTGATGCTTCTCTTGGATCTTGGACAATTCTATATCATCGTGCTTTTATCTGAAGCAGCCCTTGATAAGTTCATACTTGGTATTTATGTGGATTTCAGTTACCCTCCTCCTCGTGAGAAGTGCGCAGGGCCATATTGTAGAAATCCATACAAGTACCGTGATTCGCAGTCAAAGCTCCCTCTGTGCAGTCTCCAATGCTACAAGGCGATACATGAGAAAACGGCCCCTCTATCTGCCTGTTAATTTGGTGAAATTGACTTTTGCAGAACCTCAGGACATTGGGACAATGCTGCAGCATTTCATGTGTACTTTTAATTCAATATATATAGTATGTACTGTATATATAGATGGAAGTGATACAATTTTTATATACACAACTCATACTTAAACAACTGCCTATTTCATAGAAAATTCGAAGCTTCCATGTCTTGCTTTGACTGTCTCACGCTACCACAAGTTGAGTCTTGGATAATTTTCCTCGTATGCCACTTCTTTTTGTCTGGGAGGAGGATATTAGAACTGTCAGCTTGGATTCAACAAGTTGTTTAATTTTGAGTTTACAAAATACGAAAATGTTGGAGAAAAACTTACCTATACTTGGAATATCAACGTGGCGCTATCCCAAGACAATCACTCATTGTCATGTGTTTTAACTTTCCAACATAACAATGCAACTTTCTGATATGACAATGTGTGATAGGCTTGAAATGCCGATACAATGGCATCCTGGTTCAGTCCCGACCCTGACCAGGGGCAGTCAGTGCGACTACCCTGGGCCTATTATTCAAAGGGGCCCCAAATTTTTTATTATAATAAGTGTTATATTATATTATTATAAATTGATTTAATATTTTTCCATAATTTTTAGGAATAGGATATTGAGATGAATCTGAAATTTTGGAACAAATGATCCATGACGAGAGTTTTAAAAGAAATTCTTTGATATTGACTTGACTTGCATTCTTGAAATTCTTTAACTCACTGGTATGGTATCCATAGTTGGACAATTGTTTTCATTATTTAGGAATATGGAAGACATTGCTCAAAGTCTAAAAATATTTTCGAATAAATACTTTCTCAAAAAAACCAATGCTTAGTTGATAAAATAAGAAATATACTAGTATTAGTGATTAATGTGTGTAGGGCACACTTTAGATTTTCATCCTGGGCCTTTGAAAATTCAGGATCGGCCTTGTCCCTATTACATGTAATAGTTTGAGTTTACACCAAAATACGAAAACGTAAATAAAATAAGAAAAGCTAGAAATGGCGTCGGGCAAAAAAATTCTTGCACACTGACGGATGAGTATCGAAATTATTCCAATGACATGTTAAACGTTTATTAACACATGCGGAATATTTTTTTTTTTAAAAGTGAGTCTTATATTAAAATTCGTGATTCAATATCTAAAAAATAAAAAATTAGATTGATTTTATTCCATTCCTATTCGTTTTCTCCTCAATTCCTGATTTCCTCGATTCATTTAACTTCATCATTCCAAATAAATAAACATGCAAACAATTTTTGTTTCCAATATTAAAGTTTGATTAAAAAGAAACAATGAAGGATAAAATAGTAACTTGATTACGTTCCTTAGAATTAAACCCCCCGAGCGGAGAAAATAAAATAAAAAACCTCACACTCTGTCAGTTCCCTCGTTTCCTTTCAGTCGTTCTTTCTTCCAGAAGCATCGGGTACCCGCGGTCCATGGCCAGAGCTCCAAATAAGCACGGTCGCGATCAAGCTCTGGTATTTCACTCTTATCATTACTTCTTAAACTGATTTTTTTCAGAGATTTACTTTTGAATATGTTTGGGAGCTGAGAAAGCTGAGGAAAAACTGAAAAGAAAATGAATTTCAAAACTTACTGGCCCATTGAAAGATTTTTCATTTGAATTCGGAGTTGTAATTAAACGAAGACTTCGATACGTGATTGGGGTTAATGTGTTTGATGTGTACTTGTGAAAAAGTTTCAGATTTTAAGAAAAAGATAAAGAAAAGCTTATGTTTTGTGGTTTTCTTTTTGTGCCTAGTTACGAATATGTTATTAGGTATTTAGTTAATAATTTTAGTCTACTGGGTTTGTATTTTTTCTGTTCGTCCGTTGTTTCCAGGATTTCCAGGGGTTTTTGAGTGACTTGCAGGACTGGGAGCTTTCTCTCAAGGACAAGGACAAAAAAATGAGGCCACAAGATTCACACCAGGAAAAGCTGGTAACTTTGTTAGTCTGCTCAGTGTTGCGTGTAGCATGTATACTTTGATGCGTGATTAGCAGTTGCTGGTGAAATTTGTTTATATGCAGCTGATGTTTGCATGTTTGGATATGTTTTGCATGTTGTCATTTCAGAAGACTAGAGATTTAGGAACTAGTTCGGGGAATTATGACTACTCGAGGAATTTAGATTCAATCAATACAATGTCAAGTAGTTTCACTTCGGAAGATAGTCTTCCTGATGCTGCTTCAGAGAAAGAATTGGTAGGAGTTGATTGTGTTCTGCTGTAGTTGTAAATTCAGAATTCAATTATTCAGGTTGCTCATAACAACTGGGTCAATCTTGATGCTGATTGTGTTACTGTCTGTTAACTTATAGGGTAATGAGTATTTTAAGCAGAAGAAGTTTAAGGAAGCTATTGACTGCTATTCAAGAAGCATTGCTTTGTCTCCGTCTGCAGTAGCTTATGCAAATAGAGCAATGGCATATATAAAAATCAAAAGGCAAGAGTGCGATCACTCTGTTTTGTTTTTAAGAGAATGCTTGTATAAATTGTATGAAAATTTTGTTGTTGATTTATTTAGATAACTACATCTATTTATGTACTAAAATGCAAGTTCGAACTTTTGAATTCCAGAAAGTGTTCATATCTCTGTGTTCTTGGTTTACTTTTAAACGGTAAAACAAAAAGGAGTGTGGCATGCTATATGCTTGTGTAAGCTCTTACAGTGTTCTTTTTAACTTATTACCTGAAGCATATATATATTTTCCGTTTTGTTTGTTAGTTTCCGGGAAGCTGAGGATGACTGTACTGAGGCCTTGAATTTGGATGATCGTTATATAAAAGCATACTCACGACGTGCAACGGCTAGAAAAGAACTTGGAAAACTTAAAGAATCAATTGAAGGTACGTTAAAAGCCAAACTATGACCTTGTTTCCTCATATTATTACATATATGGTTTCTTTTCTGATATTGCAATTGTGATGTGTCTGATGTAACGAATATAGCCAACTGCAGATGCTGAGTTTGCCCTGAGGTTGGAGCCTCAGAACCAAGAAATCAAGAAACAATACACTGAGGCCAAATCTTTGTATGAGAAAGTAAGAAAATTTGTACATGTATCTTTGATGGTGTATATCATGCTCATCTACCAGTCCATTTATATATTAAATTGATTCATTTGAATTGTTAATTCCCAGACAATTCTTCAGAAGACATCTGGAGCACGGAAAAATTCTGTACAAGAAATGCAGAAAGTGGGAAAGTTGGATACCAAAGTGAATGTCAATCTTGATGCTGATTGTGTTACTGTCTGTTAACTTATAGGGTAATGAGTATTTTAAGCAGAAGAAGTTTAAGGAAGCTATTGACTGCTATTCAAGAAGCATTGCTTTGTCTCCGTCTGCAGTAGCTTATGCAAATAGAGCAATGGCATATATAAAAATCAAAAGGCAAGAGTGCGATCACTCTGTTTTGTTTTTAAGAGAATGCTTGTATAAATTGTATGAAAATTTTGTTGTTGATTTATTTAGATAACTACATCTATTTATGTACTAAAATGCAAGTTCGAACTTTTGAATTCCAGAAAGTGTTCATATCTCTGTGTTCTTGGTTTACTTTTAAACGGTAAAACAAAAAGGAGTGTGGCATGCTATATGCTTGTGTAAGCTCTTACAGTGTTCTTTTTAACTTATTACCTGAAGCATATATATATTTTCCGTTTTGTTTGTTAGTTTCCGGGAAGCTGAGGATGACTGTACTGAGGCCTTGAATTTGGATGATCGTTATATAAAAGCATACTCACGACGTGCAACGGCTAGAAAAGAACTTGGAAAACTTAAAGAATCAATTGAAGGTACGTTAAAAGCCAAACTATGACCTTGTTTCCTCATATTATTACATATATGGTTTCTTTTCTGATATTGCAATTGTGATGTGTCTGATGTAACGAATATAGCCAACTGCAGATGCTGAGTTTGCCCTGAGGTTGGAGCCTCAGAACCAAGAAATCAAGAAACAATACACTGAGGCCAAATCTTTGTATGAGAAAGTAAGAAAATTTGTACATGTATCTTTGATGGTGTATATCATGCTCATCTACCAGTCCATTTATATATTAAATTGATTCATTTGAATTGTTAATTCCCAGACAATTCTTCAGAAGACATCTGGAGCACGGAAAAATTCTGTACAAGAAATGCAGAAAGTGGGAAAGTTGGATACCAAAGTGAATGGACAAAGCATCCAGCCTGTCTCCAGCAGTGCTCAAATAACAGAAATGACTGCAGTTCAAGATCACACTAAGGTGTCAAGAAAAGTGTTTTGTTGCTCCTTTTACTTTATTTTTGTTGTTGTCATTGAGTTTTTGTTTCTTCTTAGTAACAGGTGAACAAGTAAGAAAGACTTGTTTATGAACCTTATTAACTGTGTTTGCCTTTATAGCTTCTTATCAGACTTATATGTTGTGCACTCCTACCATGTTATCTGGACTCAATGGCTTTATCTTCTTATTTACTTTAAACTTTTATTTATTTATTTTGCATTTGTGTCTATTAGTCTCTTGAACTAGTCTATATTATGATAATTTTGTAGAGAAATAACACAACTAGGAAGCAAGAGGTGAAGGCATCGGTACAAGAGCTTGCTTCTCGAGCTGCTTCCCGAGTCAAGGCTGTAGCTGCAGAAAAGATCACACCACCAAATTCGGCATATCAATTTGAGGTTTCTTGGCGAGGACTCGCTGGAGATAATGCTGGACAGACTAGCCTGTTGAAGGTCTGCAAAAGTATTCATGTGGTTTACTTTAAAAAATAGTCTGCCAAAATGCAAGATTCATATGTTTGTTGTCATCCCAAAGTAGGTGACCATGAATGTGTTCTTTTTGCATGGTGGTCATCCGTGTGGTTGACCACTGCAAAGAGTCTATTAGTCTCATCTATTGTCCTCTTTGGATGGTTGCCAGAAGTATACCAGTAATTGCATTTTCAGTCTGCCTATCTGGCTTCTGCATGCTAGGGGCCATCCAAGAAGTTCCTCATTTGTTCTGTCCCTTTTGAACAATTTCAAATGTCCATAAAGGATTGTGAATGCAGTTGGTGTTTCACTCATTCTGACTTTCCATTTATGCTGTTACTTTGTTTCATGTTATTTTTTGTGGTATTTCTATACAGGCTATATCTCCAAGTGCATTGCCGCAGATATTCAAAAATGCTTTGACTGTTCCCATACTTCTTGACATTATCAAGTGTGTGGCAACCTTTTTCATGTAAGTAATGTTTATGTCTGGTATGTATGTTTTTCTTGTTGAGCTTGATAAAATGCTTATGGCCCCACCTTTGATTTATTTCTTTGGCAGTGAAGAAATAGATTTGGCCGTTAATTATTTGGAGAACTTAACCAGGGTTCCAAGATTTGACACACTCATCATGTTTCTTTCATCCTCAGACAACGCTGGTATGCATGCTTCTGTTTTAAATTCCTTGAGATTTTCAAAAGCTTACAGTTGAATTCCTGGATTTCAAATGTTTTTTAAGTAGAGTACGCCTATATCAATGTCTTGATTGAATCATTCCATATTTTCTGATTTGTTAGTCATCCAGCCCATTTTTATGGGGTTTATGATTCGTATTTTCCATTAGTTTCATATCCTATACTAACCCAATAACCTTGCAAACAGATCTTGTTAAGATATGGGATGAAGTGTTTGACAATGAGGCAACTCCAATTGAGTATGCCGAGAAGCTTGATAACCTGCATACAAAGTACTGCCCCAAGCGATGACAAAGATCAACAAGTTTCTACCTTACCCTCCTCCACGTCTTGTACTGTAAATTCAAGTTGTAAAATTTTGAAATGCTCCAACGCCCCCTTTGAATCTCAAATTATATCGTGGACAACTTTTCTATCCATTTATCGAGATGTTAAAAGTACATTGCAACTTTTACTTCTCTCCTCTTGGACTTGAATACTTTGAACTTGGAACTTTTGGTAAGAATGAGCTTGTGAGCGTCCATGTTTAGGTCGGCTCTTGTTCAGTCATATTCATTGAGGTCCAGAGGTTAATGGTGGCGATAACCTGTTTCTTCATGCCCCACCTATTATTCACTACCTTATTTTTCAGACAACATATGTATATCTTTGCATATTGAGTTGTTTCAAGTCGCAATCAACCAATGTTATGTGGGGGTCATCCAGATTTTGCACTATGCTGTCCACATGGAGATCATGTGTCATTTACAATCACCTGACTCTTTCATGTTAACCCCACTATATTATGCATCAAAAATAAAGACCATAATACAGAAAATAACCCTACATGCAAGTAGATGCTTTGTAATCTTACAGATCAGAGATCATTTTTTGGGAACTCACCCAAACAATACAAAAACAGAACCAGAATACTGATTGGCTAGGCATATATTATGTGCTGCACACGAAAGACTTCTCTTCGAAGCAAAAACGGTTGGAGAGAGGAGGCTGAACAGAGTTTGTATGGCCAAGCAACTAGCAAAAAGTAAAGACTTCTCTTCTGGGATGGATGAGCAACTAGCTAAGGAGGCGATAAAAGCAGGTAGACCATTGATCTTGCGTTAATAGTCATGTATATGTTTTGTGATGTACATTTTACAATGTAGAATGGTCTTCAGATAGTTTTCTGTTTCTTATAGGGGCCTGTCTAGTTGCATTAATACCAAGAATTTCCTCAGACTTGAGTGATTGTTCTTAATGCCTAGCTTGTTGCTGCATTTTCAAAATGCCTAGGCGGTCGATTTTTCAAACACTTGACTGGCGTTTGCCACTCGTCAAAACACTTGGAAAGTACCCCCAATTTTCAAGTTGGCCAAAGTGATAATTGGGGATTCAAGTTTCAACATATTCAAAGCAAATATTGAAGAGAAATTTCATAATAAATCAATATGAGAGTACAATTTTTTGTTCTTCTTTTTTACTATGGGAATGTTTGTCTTTAATCTATATTTTTCTCGAGTGCTACTAAATTATGCTATTGCACGCATTATTTGTCGTAGAGAATTGCATGCTGAGTTGGAGTGGTCTTGGTAATTGCTTCACTTTTCAAACGACACTTTACATGAAGAATATTACCACCTCTTTTACTGCTAAACCTATAAAACTTTGTTTGAAATTGTTGTTCTGGTTGAAAAAGAGACTGCAAAACCACCATCTTGCATTTTTCTTACAACAAGTAAGAAATAATATCAGCCTCTCAATTTCTTTCATAGTTAGTAAAATATGGAACGGGAAAAATACAAATAAAATATGTATGTGTTTTATTCGGCAAAATTTTGGCAACTTACAGCTGAAAATTTCGGCCACTATATATTATTTTTATTCAATAATATGTGAAAATTATGTGTATAATACGTGAATTTTGTGTGTATTATTCAAAATTTTGTAAAAACACACGTGTATTAAAAATGAAACATACGTACGAATGTGTACAATATGTGTATTGTATGTTTGCTTTTTACAAAACGTGTATTTTATCGAGTCTTTAAGACATGTACAGAAAACGGAAGTATTATTAAAAAATACCTAGGTATGTGTATAAAACAAGTATTAAACGAGAAAATGCTAAATTCTTTATATGAGTAATAACTCTGGAAAAAGAAAAAAATCAAAAAGGGACAATAGAGACTCTAGTAATGAAGTAATTGTAATGGATAATGCTCTTAACTACCCTTATTGATAAAAGAAAATCACGGAATTTTTTTATAATAAAAAAGGACCCAGTATAGCCGCACGGCTATACTTTTTAAATATATTATATTTACAAAGTATTTATTAAAAAAAAAACCCATATCAGCTAGGCGGCCCTTTTTTTTTTTTTTTAGTTGCTGTTAATTTTAATTTTTTTATAAAAACACAGCAGTATAGCCGCGCGGCCATACTCTTCAAATCGTTTAGCCGTCCGGTTACTATTTATAAAAAAATAAAACTGAAAATGTCCGAGTATGGCCGTACGGTTATACTATTTATTGGAAAAACTTAAGAATTCCAGGAATAGCCGCGCGGCTGTACGCTTTAAATATTATTTATAAAAAAAGTGTGTTGGCTATGGATATGAATTGCTGAATTAAGTTACATAGTGTTGGCAGTGGTTGTTATCAGATCTTCGACAACGGGGGCTATCACTTTACTATCTTTATGGGTACTAGTTCTTTGATGGTTCTTGTTTTCATATGATTTTGTTAGGTACTGAGATAATTAAATTTTGAAAAACCATAATACTTGATGTAGGAAAAATGAAAAAGTGTGTCACTTTAGCCTTAGATATGTCATTGGGATAAAAGTAAAAATTAAGGATTCTCTTTTCTACAAGAAAACAGGAGGATGAAACGTTAAATTTCGATTCGGTTAAGATGCAATCAACTAAACTGGGTGTCTTTATGCACAGGTTTGAAGAAGGGGTAGAGCAGTTCCGATTAGATGTTGCCTAGAATCCAAATGAAGAAGGGGCTGGAGACAAAACCATGACAAAAGCCAAAAGTCACTCATGTCTACAAACTGCTGGGAATCTCCAGCACATTGCCAAAGACAAACCCAACGCAAGCCATCAGAAAAACCAAAGGATACTTGAGCAAAACACCCTCAAACCAGTGTACATACCCATTTCTTTCTCCCCATCAGATCTAGCCATAGAAGAGGGGAGAAAAGAAGGAAGAAAGATGGTTGAAAATGGGAGTTCTCCACTGAGGCAACTATGGGAAGAGCATTGAGCTCTCAAAAATCCCTGATTTTGTGCAAATGGGCAGAGAGAATTTCACCAAATAGGATAAGTCAAAGGAGGGGAGGAGAAATGAAGGAAAAAGCTTGGCCAAATTGAATAGAAGCCATTATGGTTTCTTGGAAAAAGAGCAGCTCCAGCGCCTATAAAAAAAAGGCATTTCCTACCCATCATCTCAACCCACATCTAGAGAGCAAGCTTCATCTCTCATCTCTGAAACTCTACAATTTTGTGCCATATTCCTCTATCTCCTCCTATTTTCTCTTCTGGCAAGTCATTCCAGAGTCTAACATAGCTTTTGTCAGGCTGCTGGAAAATTACCCAATACTTCACCACTATCCATAACTCATATATATAGTGCAAGCTTCATCTCTCATCTTTGAAACTCTGCAATTTTGTGCCATATTCCTCCATCTCCTTCCATTTTCTCTTATGGCAAGCCATTCCAGAGTCTGACATAGTTTTTGCCAGGCTGCTGACAAATTATCCAAAACACCCAATACTTCACCACTAGCCACAACCCACATCTAGAGAGCAAGCTTCATCTCTTATCTTTGAAACTCTGCAATTTCGTGTCATATTCCTCCATTTCCTCCCATTTTCTCTTCTGGCAAGCCATTCCAGAGTCTGACATAGCTTTTGTTAGGCTGCTGGAAAATTACCCAAAACACCCAATACTTCACCACTAGCTACAACCCACATCCAGAGAGTAAGCTTCCTCTCTTACCTGCAAAATCCAGCAATTTCGTGCTCTATTCACCCTTATCTCCTATTTTCTCTCTTCTAGCAGACTGTTCCAGCACTTGACATCACCTTTGTCGAGCTGTCGAAAAATCACTTAAGTCACTCATTGCCCTCATCTCTCTCCTCAACGAATTCTATTAGAATCCCTTCCCATATGCCTTAAAAACTCTGTTTCTCATAGGAAATCACAGCCATTTCTCTGTCTCATGCTAAACCCATGAATGCTCAGCTCCCATGCCACAAGCTTATCATGCCAAGCCAATAAAATATCTGTAAGCTGTTGTTATTTTTGTTGGTGAAGGTAACCAAGGTGTTTCCTAAGACTTCACTATCTTTTCGAAGCATTCTTGGGGCTTGATCTTTGAACTCATGCACAGGGGATAACTTCATCAGTTCGCTCCTTACGATAGCCCAGCCCATTTGTAGATGCCATTAGAAAAAGCCCCTACACAAGGGAACGATTTCTTGAGGCAAGTTAAACTATCATTTCCTATAGGAAGGTTTCTAATCCTAAAGGTTCTTATTTTATTTATTTATCTGAGGAAGATTGTGGATGAAGTTAAACTAGGTTTTGAGCTTTAACTTTGAGCTAGTGACTTTTGGTCATATGTAGGAGCAAGCATAACCAAGTATATTTATGAGTGAATGTGTAATTCTAGCTGACACTTTTTTAAGTGCTTTTTACTCCCATGTATTAAGTGAAAAGTTGAATAAAATTCTTCTAATCATATACCAGATGAATGCAGATTGGCCAAGATCCGAAACCTGTCATGCGAGACGCCTATAACATTTTTAAAGGTGGTGGTGATCCAGAAAAAGTGTAATGAGAAATTTTTTATTTGACCAAAACCATTTCTTAGTTGAGCTAGCTAGTTGTGTAGTTCATAAGGTTAGAATTTAGAAAGGCATCTCATGTATGTGCATCTCCCAATATATTCTCATGTCTCTCTAGATCTTCTTACTGTATGGTTTTATCAATTCATATGAAATTTTGAGAACGCAACTCTTTTCTGCTTCATGTTTCCTCTGGAAATACTCATGCCTTAGGACCATTTTGCAGCGTGAGGTTAATTGGAGTAGCTTAAAGTTGTTTAAGAAAAATCTAGCATGTCTATATTAAACACGTAAGACATCCAGCAAAACATAATGCTCAACTTGGCAATAGTCACTTGACCTTTCTTTTGCGACTTCTTAATATTGTAATAGTCAATTTTCTTCTCAATTATTACAAAGTTGGATTGCGTTGGTGCAATTAAGTTTATTGTAGCCTATACTTGTTTTATAAGGTTGCCAGTACCAGTTTAGGAGAATTCAACTACGTCTAACCTGAAAATATAAAGAAAAACACCTTTTTCTTTGAAAATGTGGCAGTGTGGTTTTTTCGCGGCGGTTTTAGGGCTTTAGCTATGGTAGGCTGCGGTTATACTACTTTTAGTGACAAAAAATATCTCTCTTTTTTGCAGAACGTCTTTAGCAACATAGAAAATCGTCGCTAACCGCTACAAATAAAACTTTTAGTAGCGGAAACGAAAACCGTCGGTAAAAATTGGCAGACGTTAGAACACCCCTTGGTTCCTGAAAACAAAGAGATTTTAGACATCACATTTCGGAAAACGAGAAAAAACAAACCTCCCTTTAATCTCCTTGTGTTTATGTACATATTTTACATGAAAATATTACTAAACACCGTCCAAATTAATACTT